TCCTTCTACCTTTTCAGAGGACTTTACTACCAACTATCCTCTCTCAAATATATCCCTATAATTAAACATGCTCTAGCGTCTCACATCTTAAAAATATACCAAAAAAAAAAAAAAAAAAAATCCATAGAACTTTCTTAGTTCACATAACACCCTAACCAAGTTCCTTAGAAGCCCAATTTCTTTAAGGACTTGTCTTTACTCACTGTCTTCATTTCCTTACCTTTAGCTTTTTCAATTTTGCTTCCTTTCCATTAAGATACTAAGCAATCTCTCACGAAGTTTGCCAATGACCTATATACAGAACCACTATTAAGAGTATGTGTTCTATCATCAGAATTCCAGCTCCTTGATTTATTGGGTGTTTGGTATAAGACTTACCTAAGCTAGTAATGTAATCTTTCTGAGCGGCAGTTACCCATTGCTAAAAAGTGGTTGATATATTTCCCTATAGGGTTCTCTGGATAAATCAATGAAATACAAAAGGTAAAACAAACAAACAGTACAGTGTTTAACACAGAGTAAGCAGTTAATAAAAGTTGGCTGCTATTGTTGTTGCGTTAAATGATTATTTTCATTAGTCCTAGGCCCTCATCTTACCCTTTCACACAGTATTCTTTCACTAAGCAATCCTGTCCACAACTGGTTTCAATTAATATTACAACACTGATGACTCACAAATCTGTATATCTAATTCAAACGTCTCTTCAGAGCTTCAGACCCATATATTCAACCACCTCCTTAACATGTCCCCTTGAACATATCAAAGGCACCTCTAACTTAACAAGTCTAACATGGCACTCAAAATCTGCCTCCTTGTACTTGTCACATCCCACACCCCTTCATCACCAGCAAAATACCAGTTGTGAAAGCCAGAAATAGAGTTATTTTTTGACATATCCCTAGAAAGTCTCTCATATCCTTCCATATCTATCTTCTCTACAACCATAACTCCAATTCAAACTGTATTATCTCTCAAAAAGCCTCTAACTGGTCTACCCCCTCTAAACCATTCTCTAAGCATGTACCTTGCACACTTCTAATGATTCAAAACACTGTGGTTAAGAGTACACTTTAGTTACACCTCCTATACTACCTTACGTACAGAATTAGAGCTGATTCTCAGACCAATGAATGAATCCCAGTGAGCACAAGATTATTTTCTAGCTGTGTAAACTCTGGCAAATTATTTAGTCTCTCCAATTTATCTACAAAATGGAAGCAACAGTAGTTAGCTTCCTATGTTTTTGTCAAAAGTAAATAGTGGTAATAGAAGCTTAATTCAGTGCTTGACATTTATTGAAGACTAGATAAATGTTAGCTAGTAGAACAAGCTAAGTATAACTTTCCCATTGCCCAAGTTCTGATCCTCATCTCTCACAGAGCCTATTTTAATGGTCTGCTAACTGGTCTCATCACTTCTAAAGGCCCAAAGCCCAAACAAACTATAGCATATTGTAGGCTTCAAGAAAAGTCAGGTAAATCTGGCCTTCGTTTAGTACTCTAGGATTAAACTAAAGATTAGGTCCAAACTTGTTTGAACTTGGAAAACAATATAACTCCTGCCTACCTTCCTAATTGTTTCCACGGTAATTCTCCCATGTGCCTCTGATTCAGACTCATCAGGCTACTTTAACTTACCACAGTACCACCTCTACTGGGTCAGCAGCCTTGAAGACTTTCTCTGTCTGCAACACTCACGCCTGCACTAATTACCACGTTATTACTTATCTCAAATTTGAAAGGAAACTGTAACTCAAAGAAGATAAACAAGTGGCCAGGATGACCTAAACTGGAGAATGAGCAGGATGACAAGGCAAGTGTTCTTTGCACTATACTTGAACTTCTCAAACTTTTCCAGTGAATAATTCTGTTGAAAGAATTTAATTCCCATCCTTGAAGTCAAGGAAGGCACTGACTCAAGCTGCTCCTACCAGCGTGGAGTATCATGTTTTCTCTTCAAATAAATCACTGTCAACACTTTGAACAAGCTGAAGACAGGAGCCTCTCAAACAGAATTCCCTTTACTTTAAATCAAAACTAAAAATCTAAGTTTGTTTGTTCTTTGTCTGCAAATCCACTGCAAGAAAGTATCTTCAGCCTTCATTTTCATCCTTATCCACAAGGATATAATGCAACACAGTGTCATATAAATGGCTGCAGTTACTATTATTTTCACACAGTAAAATCAAGCATTGCCAATGTGTTTAGGGAGAGAACTGCTGCCTTGAGATCTCTCCCAAGATCCCTGACAGAAGAAAGGTTGAATAAAAGGATATCCAGGGATCCTAGGTCAAACTTGAGTTTTCTTAGGACAATACTCACTTCTCAAGAGTCGGGCTTCTCAACCTGGGCGCAAATTGAAAAATTAGGCTAGATAACTCCTTGTTATGGGGGGCAATCCTATGCATTGTGGGTTGTTTACTTTCTACCTACTAGATGCCAATAGCATTCCACCCCCAGATGTGACAAACAACAAGCTTTAGACATTGCCAAATGTCCCTTGGGGGCAAAACTGTCCCCAGTTGAGTGCTCTACAGTGACACCTGTTTGGTATATATCCTTTCACTGAAGGGTGAACGTTAAATAGGAGAGCTCAAGCATCTTATTCGCGATAGGAAAGCCATGGGAGAAAAGAGACCTCCCTCTATTTGCACAGGGCACTAGGATAAAAGAGTGTGGCTTTTCAATGCTGATTTTCCATAAGGAAGTAAACTGAATGAGATTTAAGTTCCTTACCAAAAAATTTCAGGTGAGGCTTCAAAAATGACCAGACATTTAAGACTATACTTTTGAATGTTGGGGGAGAGGAAAGAAGAAAAGAATCTAGGGCTGAGCCTTTATTTAGCCGGCTATAACATATCGCCTCTAATCTAACAACATAGTGACAAAACGTGATAGCTCAACATGACACCACCCTATTTTGCCATTGTATAAATGAACATAACCTACTCTATTCCACCAATCATCATCCAAGATGTATACTAAGATGTACACGCAAACATTCATACAATCACGAGAAAACAAAACGTTATTTTGTATAAAAGCAGTGACTTCAACATCTGCAATTCAAAAAGCTTAGCTTTTGTTTCATAAAATGCAGCTCAAGACCCTTGGCAGCTATTCCCTCAGCATTTGCTAATAGGTATAAAAGCAAATTCGGAATCCTGTGGAAGTTACCCAAGGCAAAAGATTTGGCATGGCTGGGGTGCAGTTTGTATGCAAACACAAATGCACACAGAGATACATGTTTTCAATATTTAAGAATATTTTTGTCTTTACCTTTAAAAAAACCTTCAACTCTGCTTGCTATATTTCACTATTATTGCTTTTAAGTTTCTGCAATTTTGTTTCCCCTGGGGAAATCATTCTTTAAGTTTTGTTTTAAGTAATCTCCTAAAGATCTAGCTAAAATGAACAGTTAGATAGTTGATATAAACTCTGTTTATATCATGAGCCTCAGATTTCCCATCTGTAAAGTAGGTATCAAGAAAATTTACTTCTTAAACTTGCTGTGAGGATCAAAGGAAGTCCTGTGTAGCCAGTATCTAGACACCTAAAATACACTCAATATATTGTTGCTATTACTACTATTATAACTATTACACATCAACTTCTCTGATACTCCTGTTTCTTCTACAAAGTCTAGAACGTTGTGTTTTAGAGAAGAGAAAAATACATTTTATAAGCACGTCTCACATGTAGATGCAAACACATATAAATATTATCTGTGCTGACAATGACGGTAGGGCAAAAGAAAAAGTGAAAATGTTGAGTTCTGTTTAATAATTCTTGTGCAAATTACATCAGGTATTTGGAGTTCATGATATGAAAGGCGATGTTCCTTCCTGCTGCAAAAAAAAGGAAAAAAGGAAAAAAGTTGGGGGGTGGGGAGAAAGAGGAAGAAAGAAAACCACAGCATTAATATGATAGACTAAAGGGATGGTCACATAAGACATGTAATTCTACAATGACAATACTCTCCTAACTCTTCTAAGAACAGTAAAAAGTCAGATACCTTCCAAAGAAGCCAGGGGTTATATTTCGCTGTTTATCTAATTAATTAAATTCCATTGGAAACAATTTTTCTTCCCAAGAACCAAAGGCTACAGTTCCATGAATGAAGACTTAAATATATAAAGTATTGCTACACTATGTTGAGCTCTTCCTCCGGAATTGTAATACATTTTTAAAAGCTTTATTCATTCAACAGCAACTCCACTGAAGTAAAGTATTAACAGCAATCCAAAATGTCTGGATTTCCCTAAGAAAATATCAATTCCTTACCAGAAACCTACCCAAAGAAAAGGCAAATGCCCTTCAATTCTTATTTTCTGCAGTAAATAAGGCATAGATAGATGGTTGAATTAAAGTTGCTGGAAAATATACTTCCAAACACTTCCTTTAAGGGCTCCCAAAATTATACCATTAAGAGGGTCCTGATAACACTACAGCTAAAGTAATTCATGAGCATACCCCCAACGAAAGCCCTGCATACTAACAGCTCCACAGCAACACTTCTACAGTTCTTGGCCTTCAGTTGGCTCCTGGCAGATCAGTCAGAAAACCAGTGTCACAACAGTCACAACCCTTTCAGTAATTAAATCAAGGAAGGCTAGAGAGGTTCTAGCCCAACGCTCTCATTTTACAGAAGAACCTGAGGCAGGGAGTGAAGTTAACTTTCTCAGCCTTTGACATGAAAGCCCACCCAGAACCCAGAGTTCCTGATCTCAGGTACAAAGCCACACAGACACCCGGGAAGGGGGCAGAAGGGCACGGGCCCTGAGTCAGACTGCCTGCAATCTCATCCGGCTCCTCCACAAGCCGTATGACCTTGAGCGTCTCAATCTCAATCCACATCTGTAAAATGGGAGCCAGAGCCCCACGGTCTGGGACTGTTGGGACAAGTCTACGTGCTGGGACACGTTCCAAGGCTTCCACGCTCCCTGGCTCGAGCGCTTCGCCGGTCCGCTCCCGCTGTACCCGGCGGTCGCGGCACCCACCTGAACGTTAGGGAAGGCGGTCTTGAGTAGGTAGAACATCTTGCGGTTTGACAGCACGTCCCCGCTGGTCATCTTGTCATCGGCTCCCTCGCGCGTCTTCCCCTTGGACTTCTCATGGAGGACATTGCTCTCGCGGACGCGCCTCACTTCGTCGCCACCGCGAACGGCAGCCAGCACCGACACAGCCAGCATCTCTCGCAGGTCCACGGTGCCCCCGTCTGCCGGGGC